CAGGCGAATGCCTCCAAGCTGTTAATTTGGTGAAGAATCCTTTTTATAGAAAAAGGCTTAATTTGCCATGGACTTATAATAAGTTATCAATCGCTATAATACAGGGAAGCCCAATTGAACGACACACACACGATGCTAATTCAAAATGACTACAATTTATTTGTCTCAAACATTAGTATAAGACATGAGAATTATAAATGCCCCTTATTGGATCATCCAATAGGGTACTAACACATAGTTCTTAAAGGAAATAGTGGGGGTAGAGAGACACACACATCCTTGCAGTATATAGGGGGGAAGGTAAACAAAGTACCAACAGATTATCACTGCCATACAAAAAAAGAGTACCAATGTATAGGAATGTTTGGCCAACGCCCTGTCTACAATGAACAGAACTTAGCTTGTTAGTCTAGGATCTTATTCACTAACATGTTGAAAATAAAAGAGCATAAACATAATAACATTCCATCATCAAGGAAACAAAGTGTAGTGATGAACTGGGTTTGAAGCAACACTACAAGCACATAAAGCACTTATTTATTTTTTTTGTACAAAAGTGACAATTTTAATAGTAATTAGCACTTTCATAAACATCCCTTGTTATACCTCCTTGGTTGTCAATCAGACAGCTAGTCATGTTACTTTTTGGTAGATTTGCTCTGTGGCAAGCATTTGCTCAGAGCACATACCTTGCTAATAATTCTCATTTATAAAGCTCATTGAGAAGTCTGTGATTGGACAGCCAAAGAAAGTATATCCAGGGGAAGAAGGAGAGGGCTTGAAAAAGCTGCAGATACTAGATCTGCAGTGTTTGCAAGCCAAGATTCCATATACCCAAAACAAAACATGCCAAGCAAATGATGTGCATATTTTCTTTGTATAGCTACTACATTTATTTATTTACTTTAATTGAGAGTTTCTTTAACAATAATGCCATGTTGAGCAAGTATCCTCTGATAATGGCCCCTGCAGTGGAATCTGAAATGATTACAGTAAATTTACTAACATGTCTCGGCCTTTGCATATAAATATATATGAATGTTTTTTTCCAGCTGTTACATTCAATAGCAAATCAGCAAGTTCAGTTCATGTGGACTAGAAATGGTTTATGCTTACAACAGAGCATAGAGATCTAGGTGTGTTTGCATTTTATATATATCCTTACATAGTTGCACAAGGTGAATATGGCCTTGTGTTATTCCCCAGGTACTGACACAATAAATGAACCTTTCACACTAGTTAAATCTGAAGTTCACCCCATTTAAAGTGAGCCCAGTGCTTCAGGGACCTGTGCGAAGGTCAAAAGTGCAATATATCAGTCTGCTGCTTACAGTATATGACAACAGAATGAATATATTTTATATTGAATTGTTAGGCCAAGAAATGAAAATCCAACATATGTTTGACAAGAATAAACTAAAATAATATAATACAGTTAGGAAAAAGAAAGTATGTGATTATGTCGTTAGGACTGCAAAATATGTCCTATGAGATATGTTTATTAATAAAACTACATTCTGTCTTGATTGTCTACTGAAGTAGTAAAAGCAGAGCAGTTAATATAAATGAACTTAGACATTTATTCCTGTATTAAAGAAGTATGATGACTTGAGAATCTACTTGAATAATTATTTAAAAATAGCCAAATTCAGTCATCTTTAAAAAAACTAAATGTGCAGTCAGGGTTCATACCCTCATGGTCTTCCTTGTGGAATCACCTAGCTGCGCTTTTCTCAATGCTTTTAAAGTGTCTCACCAGATGGTAGAGGGGAGCCTATCAATTGATATCTGGGATTGTCTGATGAGAGCAGGGATTTAACTCTGCTCACATCAAAATATTAGGACTTCCCAATATGTCCTAACAGTGTTAAAGCAAAATATAGTTAGAATGTGATAACACCCCTCTCCCTAAAACCATTTCTGGGACGGTCAGACGGGACGGGAATATAACGGGATAAACCCTCGGTGGACAGAAGCATTGGGTCGCATCTTATGCCGACGATGTGCTTTTTTTCCTGAAAAAATCAGATCGTCTTGCTCCCAAACCTGCTGGAGCTCTTCTCCAGGTTCATCATGTTTCAAACCTCCAGTTAAACACGGACAAAGCTAAGGTCATGGTCGTTGCAACCACACCCCGGATGGAAGCGCAACTACGGACACAATTCCCCTTTGATTAGTGTGACTCCAAACTCCGGTACCTGGGCATTTGGCTGCCCAATGACCTAGCAATTCAATTTTTTTCCCTTGCTTGCTGCACTACAGTCCGATATGCAGTGCTGGAATGGCCAATACATCTCCTAGTTCTGAAGAATAAATGTGAACAAGATGAATGTCTTGCAGCGCTTACTATATCTGTTCCAGACCCTCCCAGTGGTGATTCCGGGAATGTTGTTCCAAACCCTCACTACTGTGATCCGGTGGTTTGTCAACAGAGCACTGTGAATAAGATGCCCCCAATTGATCTTTTCCAAGCACTCCGAAAGAGTGTCTCCCGTCGGTGGTCACATACTACCACGCAACACATCTGCAAAGGTTGGTTGAATGGCATGCAAAGGCATCAAAGAAGCTATGGGTGACAATGGAGATGTAGCGGTACTTACCTTATCCGGGGGCCGGTCGAGGTTCTCGGTTCCTGCCGCGCGCGGCTCGCTCGGGGCTCAACATAGCTGAGCAACATATGAAGTATTAAAAATACTTAATACACACATAAGGTTTGAAAAATATACAGTACAAACTCACTGTGTGTCACCAAAAGGCAGAAAAAATGCTTATTACCACTACACTTGGTACAAGCTAGCGGAAACATTATCTCATGCTAAGGTTCAAAATATGCCTCTTGAAAAACCCTCGGGTCACTTTTTTAAGAAATAGGATGCCTTTTTGGGGTAGTTGAAATAAGCAGTCTGCTAATATATTTCAACATGGAACACGAACACATGAAAACCATCTATGAAAATTCACACTTAAAAATCTGAAATTGACAGGTCTCTCTTACAGCACCGTAACTTCACAAAATAGTGTCTAGGTCATACATTAGGCATATTGTAATACTCAAAAGAGGTAACAGAGCATATAAATAGATCAGGGAAGCCTCATGGGGGAATCCCTGGTTTGGTATTTCAAAAAAACGAAGTAATTTATTGAAATGTCTTCAACAGTAAATAATGTGTGAGAAAATTGCTGCAATATAGCAAAAGATATCCATTTAACCGTCTATATTCAATGATATAACAGGCTTTTTTATCCATTGCCAAAAATAAACATAAGACTGACAGTTGTATCTATATGCTAATTAGATATAGTGATCCTAAAAATCAAGACAACAGGTGATATATTGTGTCTATATATTCCAGATTAGTATAATAAACATCCCTTCAGAATCATTTCATGATTTACAATGCCCAAGTAATCTGGAGCAATCATTGAAAAATAAGAGGGGAGTTTAATTGAAAAAAACAGTATTATAATAGGGAGAGATCACCTAAATTGTCAATTAGCTGTAATGGTAGTACAGGGGGTTATTAGAGTAGAGAAGTGGGGTAATAATTGTAAGATAAGTATACAAAGTGAGATGATACTGGAAGATCTATAGAGATAGAAGGAGGGAGAAGGTAAGTAACTTTAGACACAGCTTAGGTAAGTATGACGGTAATCAAAGGTATCAATTGTCTGGAGGCTTAAAAGTGCCTATTTTTATACATATATGTTGCTCCTTATCCTACACGTATCTATAGTATGGACTATTAAATACAATCGCCAAAATCCCTCAATTATTGCACCTTCAAGGGTGCAAAAAAACCAGAAATAAATATAATCTCCTGCACCTACACGGTTTCTATTAGTGCCTGAAACTGATATCCTATATCACTTTCATGGATGCTAATGGTATAAGTCCCTGTAGAAACGGCTGCAATGGAGTCTCCTATCTCCTAGTATATATAGGTGACCCTAACTTAACCCCGTGGAGCATCCTCGCAATAATAAAAACAAAAGTAAAAGTGGTGATCGAGCTTAGTGGATCGTGAGTAAAGTGCTAAGTGAAAAAGTAAATAAAAATAAAGTCCCAACGCCCGTTTCAGTGTTCTAATGGCACCTTTGTCAGGGTAGCAGCTTTCAAACTGAAAGCCTTGAGTTTTAAATGGTGATCGATCCCACCTTCATCATGCTTTTGAATCTCATGTTCCATCCCCCAAAATGATGTCATAATCTAGGTGGGCGGTCTTGCAAGTTTAGCCCTGGATGGTAGTTCCCAGTAAGCAATGATGTATTTGATTCTCAGGCAGAGTATCTACTTTAACCCTTAAAGGACCACTATAGGCACCCAGACCACTTCAGCTCAATGAAGTGGTCTGGGTGCCAGGTCCCTCCAGCATTGACCCTTTCTGCTGTAAACATAGCAGTTTTGGAGCTTGGCCTGACAGCCAAGATGGCCGGCAGCACTTTCCAAGAGCTCCAGCACTAATGAGCAAAAATAGGCAATTTATGATTGAATCGACACCCAAAGAAGCTCGGGCTGACCGGAGGACATAGCAGAAACAAGCAGGGACCATGGGGGAAACCCGTCCCTTATAAACACACCAAGATACCGCTCTGTCCGGCCATGCGGCCTAGCTCTGAGCGGGGCCATGTGTCTGGGGGAGGCGGCCGATCCCTCAGCACAGAACAGGTGCCCAACAGCAGGCTCACAACAGCCCTGTCATCCCCCCCCCCTTGGACCGGTGGGGGTTATCCTGGTCCCCGCTGGGTCACTTACTGCCACACAGCTGACTGAACCCATACAGCCATAGAAGGCACCAAAGTCAGCAGCCACAGTCTCACCCACGTGACCCTGGGAGAGCACAGAGAGTCCCACTAACTGCCTCACTGAGCAAGCAGACTTCTCCGCAAGGCTAGATGCGATATTCATCGAGTTTTGGAGAAAACTGGCCCAGCATTAAAGGCAGCAAGCGAAACCTAAACAAGACGACAGCCTACCTCAACGTCCACGAGGTACACGCAAAATGGCTGCTGCACCTGGCCTCCGGCTCCCTCACAGCCAACCTCACCGCTCAACTCCCCGTGTCAAACAGCGGACTGTAGCAGGGATTGTCCGGTCCCAATCTGGACTGGGAAGCCACAAGAGAAAGCACCCTACCCACCGCCCATACATCCAAAAGGTCATCCGTGCATCGGTGCTCCCGAGGGCCCATGATCCTACGTGCTGCTATGTTTACAAATGGGTTAATCCAGCCTCTAGTGGCTGTCTCATTGACAGCCGCTTGAGGTGCTTCCGTGCTTCTCACTGTGATTTGCTTTCCTATGGACTGGCTGAATGCGCGCACAGCTCCTGCCGCGCATGCGTATTCAGCCGATGATGACGGGAAAGGAGGAGTAGAGTCCCCAGCGCAGAGGGAGCCTGGCGCTGAAGAAAAGGTAAGTGATTAACCTCTTCCTCCCCCTAGAGCCCGGCAGGAGGAGGACCCAGAGGGTGAGGGGGACCCAAGGACCCTATAGAGCCAGGAAAACGAGTATGTTTTCCTGGCACTATAGTGGTCCTTCAAGCTTATCGATCATTTATAAGTAGTTAGAATAGAAAGGAATATATTAATCAGTTATAACTTGTGTTATGGTGTGGACTACTTGTGATTGTGTAGATATATATATAAAAATACCATTAAATATTAAGCGGTACAGAGTGTATCTTCTTGACAATGGGGCTAAAGATCCCCCTCTGGAATTCTGCAATTTTTCTCGCAAGTGAAAGTTATTTTATTAATTCTTTATAACATCTGATCTGTAAATAGAAACTTAGAGTATACCTCCATCTTTTCATTGTAGTCTATTATAGGGTGAAGTGGTTTGCAGGTCCCTAATCTCTTTCCCAATGAATGGAGCAATAAAGAAAATTATGGAAATATTGGGACATAATTGTCATGCTGAGTCTCTGAAGATCTACTAAATGGTTGCATGTTTTGGTAAAATAGTGGATAGTTTAGCTGTTGTATTAGTAATCAATCTTAGAATAATATGATATTTTAAAGGTTGTTAATAATAGCAGAGAATGTAAATCCTTCATTAAGTCCCAGAGGGGAGAGTGTCTTCAGACGATGTATCCAAAAGCACTCCCTTCTCAGCAGGCGTTTGCCAAGGTTGCCTTTCCTTTGGTTCAGTGTTATTAATTCAATGCCCTAAAATTTTAGTCCTTTGGTGTTGCCCTGATGTACCAGTTTGACATGCCTGGATATTGGTATCTCGATATTTTGTGGGTTTTTATAGAATTGATATGTTCTAGAATGCATCTTGACAGGCGAAAAGTTTTTCCTATGTACATTGGCATTTCAGTAAATAAATTAGTCCTTTTGTGTTCCAATTAAAAAAACGACTTAACTTGGAATGTTTCATTATGGCAGCTATTCTTAAAGTGTTTGGATTCCTTAGAAATAAAGTTGCAACCTTTACATTGGGCACACTTGTAAAAAGTGCCCTACGATATGCTATTTTAAAGCATTTGTTGGGAAAGCCTTTTGACCTGAACATAGAACGTAGTTCTTTTGCCCTCTTTTTAAATTCCTCTATGTCAGAACAATTTCTTCTGAGGCGTATATTGGCCAATAGGAATATCCCTTTTTTGTTGAACTGGGTGATGGCTTCTCCAGTTCAACAGACTATTAGTGTCTGTACTTTTTCTATAAAGGTCTGTTCGTATGGTATCTTCAGTCTCGGGAGTTAGTGTCACATCCAAAAAGTTTGAGGAGGGATTTCCCACCTCTGCTGTGAATCTCAAATTAAGTTCATTTTCATTTAATAATTTGACAAAGGAGAAGAAATCCTCACTAGACCCATCCAAACAACCAGGATGTCATCTATAAATATCTTCCAAGTATGGATGAACCCCACAAAATTACTGTACATACCGGAGAACACAACATTCTCTACCCATCAACCAAGGTGCTTTTTGTGATGGCTATTAAACTTACAAGTCAAACAGACCAACTTCTAAAATGGTTTCACATTGAAATTTTATTTTAGTCCTTGTAGTTTGTGACCTGTAACTTTCAAAATAAACTGAAATCCTACACATATTACGCATATTATATACTCTGTAAATCAAAACACATACATGAATTGATTTTTAATTACTTTCCCTAAGATGTAGCCGAGTAAACTTGCAGAAGCCAGACACAGAGAGATGGATGCAGGTCTTCAGGAAGTAAGAGGTCTTTATTAACATACCGATCGGGCCTCAGATGAACTAACATTCCAAAACAGGTCTGAGGGCCGAACACATGGAGTACATGCTTTTTATAGAATTATAACTCCTCCCATTAATAGCCCCACCCGCACATACCCTTAACCAATCAGTGGACAGGATTTGGATTTCCTCATATGGGCAGACCACATGGCTCATCTGAAACAAAGGAGAAAGGAGTGTAATTTCAGTTCCTGCATTCCTGCACATGCTCAGTACATTGTTGACAGTATCTTAGCTACATGTAACTAACTAACTGATACAACATACACATATGCCACGTGGAAATCTCGGCCTACTAAATTTACATTTCACAGAAATTCCATCACAAAGACATATTAGACATATTATGCACACGTTATTATTGCCAAAACTTGGAGAGAAAAAAATGCATCTGTTTGTTTTTTTCCATTAAAATGCATTTTTTTGTGCTAACTGTGAATTTATATATGTATATGTGACATCAAAGCCCTTTTTGTCATCTAAAAAATGGTATAATAAAATGAGAGAGATGCAAATTGAAGTTGAACACAAACAGCAAGAAAATGCAAAAATTGCTTGTGCCCTTAAGTGTATGTACAGCTTTTGAAGCTGTGTCCTTAAGGGGTTAAACTAAAGTTGTGTTGGTGCTCTAAGTATTATTTTAATGAATCTCCAACTACAACTTGAATTCCAAAGCTTGGGAATATTTTAAGTGTTTTCTTTTCATCATATTACAAATCCTGGGATATAACAGTTTTCAAAACCTTAAAATATCTTTGTCTCGATCAATCTTAATTATTTAACACTACTAAATGATACTCTCCTCTCTCCGGCCCTGCAGCGTGTAGTATGTAAGGCATACCCATGTTGTGATGCCTATTTTGTATATTATGTGTGTATGATTCTGGTAACTTTTATGACAATGAGAAGCATAATAAAAATGACTATCACAGTACCTCCATTGTTATAGGAACTTGGAGGAACCGTAGTCACATAGCCTACTCCTATTTTAAAGAGTGGCAAATAATAATTTGTACATTGGCACTATTGTATGTAGTTATTCATGTCATGCAAACATTAATGTATAATGCAAAAAGAAAATGTTTACCAAAAGTATGATTCATTACTGTTACATGGACACTTTTGATTGTTATGTTTTTTTATATGGAAATACAATAAAAAATATTTAACCAAAAAATATATATATCTTTGTCCTTGTATTTAAGAAAAAAAAATCAAGTCATTGTTCTTTTTAAAAACAAAAACAAAAAACCCCCCCAACAAATTATAAAGAGAAAAAAATGGCATATGCGGAAAATACAAGTGAAAGTTAAATTTCATTCTGGATTAAAAAAAATTGTCAAATGTTTTTTTTTTTTTTTTAAAAAGGGAAAAATACATTGAGAGTTGAACTGTAGAACAAACAGTTGCCATAGAAAAATATGAGCTTTAACCTTTAAAAGCTTTGTTATGTGAGGACTCACGCTTGACTCAGTACTTAGGGAGATATCTTTGTATTACTTTTCTACAAAGGGATATTTTAAATTGTAACTTCACTGCAAAACAAGGATTCATACAAGCATTGGTCTTTCTACACCTATTAACTTCTTTACACTGTCCCTCAGATGACCTCAGTGAGCTGCAGGGGAAACATCTTTAAAAGGGTTGAATGACAGGTCAAAATACAAGGATTTTTATGTGAAGAAAGGCTGGAGTTTTAGCAGGATGTCAGATGTTGTTAATGCTTTTGATGTTACATGAAATGTAAAATTATAGATCATCAAGCTTTGAGATTCTTTAAAATTTTGATACTGGCTACATTTATCTCCAACTATAATCTGTGCTTGCTTTGGCAATTAAAAAAAAAGAAGAATTTGTTCCTAGACAACAGTTGACAGCACTACATTAAGCTATGGAAATAGAAGAAGATAAAGATACTCAGATGCATTTGACAACTAAATTTGTCATGCACATACAGATTGTTACATGAGGTATTTTCTTCTATTAAGTGCAGCTTGGAAACGGTGTGCAGATATAAATCAATGAGGTGTTTAATTAATGAAACCTTGTAGCTATTTTTCCCCGATCCTATATTTTATTTGTATTGTGAAGACAGAGTTAGTAAGAAAGGGAGAATGATAGAGAGAGTTGAAAAAACCCAAAATGATAGTAAATTAAAAGAGTATTAGGGTCAAATATTTAATCTAATGATAAAATATGATTATATTCTTTGGCACAGGTCATAAACCTACGGCCATGGGCTGCAGCGTGCCAGATGAGAGCTGAACAGAGTTCTATACACAGCTCTGAGCGGTTCACACTATACACTGTTGTGCATGGCTCCAGCATACTACTAAGTAATGTGGGCCTGCCCAGTGGCGTACATACGGGGTCGCAGGAAGTGACTGCCCTGATCATTCCTCCCTGCTATCAGCAGAGCCAAGCGGGAGGAAGAGAGGAGGGAGTCAGAGTGGGAACTTTGACTACCATCAGGCTGAGACACCACTGGACACCTCCTGCATCTAAAAGGTAGGAAACAGAATGATGACTAAAATATTTTGTATATGTGTGTTTGTTTGTATGTATGTATGTATGTATGTTTGTGTGTCTGTATGAATGTTTATCTGTCTGTGTGTGTGTCTGTATGGCTGTGCATGTGTTTGTATATGTGTGTATGTGTGTGTGTCTGTATATATGTGTCTGTGTATTTGTATGTATGTGTGCTTGTATGTATGTGTGTGTCTGTATATATGTGTCTCTGTGTGTGTTTTGTATGTATGTGTGTTTGGATGTGTGTGTGTGTACAGTGGCGTACATACATGGGTCGCATCCACTCCGGGTGCCCGCCTGTCTGTCTGTATGACTGTCTGTGTCTGTATGGTTGTATCTGTATGTGACTGTATGGCTGTCTGTATGACTGTATTGCTGTATGACTGTATGGCTGTGTCTGGCCATCCACTTTTAAAATAGATGGATGGCCGGATACACGTGTATTATTTACCTGGGAAGAAGACAGGCTAGCGGTGGTAGTTTTATGTTTTGGGCAATGTTCTTGTGGGAAACCTTGGGTCCTGGCATTCATGTTGATGTAACGTTGATATATACCATCTAGCTAGATATTGTTGCAGACCGTGTAAACCCCTT